CGCCTTTGATAATGTCTACCACAGTTGTGGACGAAACGTCAGGGAGAAATTCCTATAGACCACGGCTTCAAAGCCCGGAAAACATTGCTAAATGTTCTTTATATAACAGTATTTAAACAACAAATATTTATCTCTATGATTTATAAGAATTCCAGCTGTGTATTCTATTGTATTATAATACCATCAAGAAATATATAACTCCGACATCCTTCGTTCATATGAATTATTTTCAAGCTTTACAACTTGGCAGCTATTTGATAGATTTTATTTTAACCAATCAAAATCGTTTCCAGTCACGTGAGTGATTTATGTTAAGCTATTTGTCAGTTTCCAAAGCAATTGTTTCAACACAATTTTGATTTGAAAGTAAATCTAATTTCGAAACTTTTCAAATTTCTTCAAATCTTTTAAATAGAAGGATAATACCTTTTTGATAAAGCTCTGAGACCACACGGCCTGTATGTAGTCTTTTTCAACGCATGCCACCACACAAAGCTTCAATATGTTATTACAGGTCTAAGTCTCCATGTGCTCCCGTTGCCAACAAACAGTGGTCTTTTGAGTGGTCCGGCCTACGTGGTCTCTCCCAGTCAACTTGGGGTCAAGGATGACTCCAATATTTTGACTCTTGTCTTGTCAAAAAGATTTAGACCCTGAAGAGATCAATCAACTTGTCTCAGATTTTTCCGGGTTAGCGGATAGTCCCACTATTGTTGCACCGTATTTCCACTCTAATCACAACATGATGTATTATGCTCGTCACAGTATCCGGGATGTACCGGAATTAATTTATTAACGTACTTTAAATATAGAAGCATTAGCCGACTAAGACGGTCTGCATCCTCATAATGCATAATTTTTTATTTCAGCTAAAAGTTTATTGATTTGTAACATAGATAAAACTTTATTTACATGTATTATAAAGGTTAGTCGTTCTAGGATCGTAACGAAAAGCTATTCTACAAATTTGCAAGAGAACACGTTCACGATATTATGCCAATAGTGTACACGCCTATCGTTGGTCTCGCTTGTCAAAACTTTGGTTTAATCTTTAAAAGACCTAGAGGATTGTTCCTAACGATTTACGATAAAGGTCACATTTACGAAGTAATGAAAAACTGGTAAGTAGTTGTAAAACTAATTATTCTAGGGCGTCTGTTTTATTCCTTTTTGAAATAACATTAACACTATTACAACTCAAAACAATCTTAAACTATTTACTGATTTGTTTGTCTTATTTTATATCTATCAAATCTTTGTTCTGATTAAGCGTCTTCTAAACTGTAATACATGTTATTCTCCTTGCACGTGATCTTTCATTTTAATTTTAGGCCTTCCACAGATGTAAGAGTAATCGTAGTGACAGACGGAGAACGAATCTTAGGCCTAGGAGATTTAGGTGCTTGTGGAATGGGAATACCCATTGGAAAACTTTCCCTATACACAGCATTAGCTGGTATCAAACCCCATCAATGCCTACCGATCACTATTGATGTTGGTACCAATAATGAGCAATTTTTAAACGATCCTTTGTACATTGGTTTGAAGCAAGAGCGAGTACGTGGTAAGTATTCATACACCTTTCGGAAAAATACTGTTTGAGAACTAGAAATAACAGAAATTGAAATAATATTAGTTATTTAAATGTACCATTCCACCCTCGTCTGGAGGAACAATGGGTCCGTCCGTCGGCGACGAAAATGTTGTTATTTCTGTCTGACTAGAGCGAATTAGGATATAGCGACTTTTAGGACACTCATTATAAATTGCATTTTTGCATAGAAACAGTACGAATACAATCGCCAAGGCATACGATACTCTGTACGCTGCGCGTAAAAAAAGTTTACGTCAGTTCAAACGTTCACAAAACGTAAAGAAAGTACTCAAGCATATAAACCCGTCTAGGGTGAAAAGTAGTGTAAAAGATCCCGTCCAGGGTAAAATCGAGCCTTGCTGCAACCCGTTCAACTTGTGATATCGTTGAGTCGGGGGAGTCAAAGATTTCCAATAATTATGCAATAATTGTCAACAATACATGCTGTCAAAGTTTCTTCGTTAAGTGTAAAAGTGGCAATTCTGAACCGCTGAATTAAGCGGATTAGGCGTTCTTGCGTCCAGTAAGCAGTGTTAGTTCCCGAGTCAAGCACAACCAAAATCCTGACTACCTTTTGGCACTTCTAGTGAGTCTGCGTTAATGTACAAGTGAGTGTTGCGTCAGTTACCTTTGGCACTTCTAGTGAGTTTGCGTCAATGTACAAGTGAGTGTTGCGTCAGTGTTTTTAGGCAACAGTTTTAGAATAAGTAGGTAAAAAATCACTGCATTGTAAGTCTAATAGACCGTAATTGTTGGTAGTAGTTTTAGTTTTTATAATTAATTATAAAGTAATGAATTGACAAGTAGTTGGACTCCATCTCAAGTAGACGAACCACCTTCGAAATACAGGTCACTTCAAGGAAGTTAAAATAATACGCTTTTGTACTCAGGAAATTAATGTTCTTCGTGCACAAATACTCTTCTTCTTCTCTTTGTCAGCCGCTGTCCATTATCTGTCCACTCATGAACAAAGGCATCTTTCATTTGTTTCATGCTGTTCTGTTTTTGCACTCCTCTTTGTTTGCCGTGGTCTCCAGTGTACAAGCCTTGATACCCATCTGTACACACTTAGTCTGGCAACATGCCCAATCCATTGCCACTTAAGCTCAGCGTTGCGCTTTATTATGTCTATTACCTTCGTTCGTTTTCTTATTTCTTCGTTACGGATTTTTTCTCGTATGCTAATGGCAAACATTGCCCATTCCATGGACCTTTGCATTGCCCTAAGGTTATTGGTGTACTTCTTGGTTAAAGCTTTTGTCTCTAGACAAAATATTGCGACAGGCAGGATGCATGTGTTAAAAACCCTTTGCTAAGGTTTATAGGGATGTCAGGGCTTTTAACTATATGACTCAGTTCTCCAAATGTCATCCATGTCAGTCTTATTCGTCGCTTTATCACTGCCGTTTGGTTTTTTTGTCCCATTTTAATGACATGACCAAGATATGTATATTTGTCTACAATATCCAAAGTTTTGTCTGTTATTCTTATGTTTTCCTTAGTCCTGCCCATTATTGTTGTTTTTGATAAGTTAATTCTTAGGCCGACGTCATTTGCAGCTTTATTTAGTTGTTCTAGTATGTTCTGAAGCTCTTGGATATCTGAACTTAAGCACTAAGTCATCGGCGAAGCGTAAATGGTTTTAAAATTTACCATCAACGTTTACTTACACCTTTATTTTCCCACGGTAGCTTATGAAAAACGTCTTCCAAGGCCAACGTAAAAAGGTTTGGGGATATAGGTTTGCCTGCTAATTGGAATTTTTTTGGTTCTCAAGTCTTTTTTACACGAAAATTAGCGCTTCTCTATATGTTCTTAAGAACGGTAGAATATCTTGAGTCAGTCCTATCCTCTATCCGTCACACGTAGAACCGTCCACATTTGAACGCAGTAAAATGCCTTAAGTCTATAAAGGCCAAGTGAATTGGAATATTTACTTTGTTGTCTTCTCTATTAACATTTGAATGGTCTGCAAGTGATCAATAGTGCTATATCCTTTTAGAAATCATGCCTGCTCCACTTGCTGATAGGCATCTAATCTACTTGTCAGTCGGTTTGTAGGCTTCTTTGTTAGTAGTTTATAAAGGTGGGACAGAAGGCTGATAGTTCGATATTTTTCAATGTCGGTGATGCTACCCTTTTTAAAAAGTGGAAAAACCTCTGCGCGGTGCAATGTTTCAGGGATGTTGCCTTCAGCTAAACATTTATTAAATATCATCTGTAGAATTCGTTCCATAAAGTCTTCGCCTATTTTTAGCATTTCACATGTTCACCAGGCGACTTACCGTTCTTCATTTGTCCTAGTGCGACCCTTATTTTGTCTTTGGTTATATCAGAAATTTCTTCTGAACCTAAATTGCAAATGGCAACTTTCTGAATTCAGCACAACAGAGGCGTACAAACCAGATTAAAAATTTCTACCTGTTTAGAGGTTTCGTCTCTACGTCGTCTTTCGTCTGACTGAAAGCAGTCAACCTACACTCATCCTCATCTCAACGGTCTTTTAAATCAGAAAAAAAATCATAGTTAGTATTTTCCTTGTTGTTTAACAGCTTAATTTTAACAGGTTTACATTATTGTCACATCTTCTTGGCTCGGTATCAGTCAGTTTATCTATAAATATAAATACCTACATGCAAAGGTTTGAAAATTCAGTCAAATGTTGTTTGTTTGCTAAGTTAAGCCGCTCAGTTAGATCACAGGTCGCAAGTTTTTAACGATTACTGCACATAATAAATCATAATCTGTCTCCTAATATTATACCAACGGGTGATCAATTCTGTAATTGCAATTTCAGGAAAAGAATATGATGATCTCATTGATGAATTTATGCAAGCCGTCGTGCAACGTTACGGTCAGAATTGCCTCATTCAATTTGAGGACTTTGGGAACTCAAATGCTTTCCGCTTACTGGAAAAATACAGGCGCTCTTATTGTACATTCAACGATGATATACAGGTAAATTTTTAACGTGCTAATGTAGCGATAAACATGTATTACTATGGAACATTAAAAAAAAGGTTACACATCATTAAAAGTGTAAAATATTCATATTTTTTACAGAAGAAGTATATGAACAGAGTAAACAGATGAAACTAAAATGCAAGTATAAGCGTTCCTCTAGTATGTTGAAAACAAGTCAATGTTTCAAAATGTAATTCTTCAATCGAGTTCCAGTAGCAATGATATAAATACTTGCAAGTCCATGCCTACTCTTGTTACATTACAGGATGTGTTTTATCACAAAACTGTCCCATCTTACAACATACTTTCAATAATCCTTGGATACCTATAACATAGCCACTTGACATGCGAAGAAAGTTTTCGGGCCAAGAAAAGTTGATAGAATCGAATTGATGTAGGTCTTCTTCAAGCCATTGCTTGACACCAAGTGTCTTCGCAAGTGTGGGTTAAAGCATAATTTGTGCGAAACCTTTAAATTAATTTCCATGCTTAGTCTTAGTCATGTCTTAGTGCATGTTGCTATCAATGTCTTAATCGTAAAATAAAGTTGGGCTTCAGCAATYAGATGTTTAGTTGCATCTTCTCTTTCTCCAAGTGCCTGTTGCCTAGGGGAGTACCTGAAAACCACGAAAATCGAAGGATCATGACGACATTGGCGATAATGCCGGAGAATGGTCCGCACTTTGGTTTGTTATTTCCACCAAGCTTCGGCTAGAATCCGTAGAAGATCCTCGTTTGAAAATGTCTGGGCCCCGTGGCGCTGGGTTGTCTCCACCAGAAGGGTTTCCGGTCGTTGCGGCATTAAATAGCCCAGTAAATGGAATGTYCGGTGACCGCGAATTCATTGTTATCTTTTTTAAGTCTTTCAGAAGTAAGAAAATGTTTTGCGAGAAGGATTTTCAGGGCCACCCCTTTTTAATGTTTTCTTCGGTAGCACTAGGGTAATCCTTCACTTTTGTCTTTAATAAAAAGTTGGAATCAGCCGGGTTCTGTCCACTTAAAGTAAACCGAAGCGAGGTTCCAGAAACACAACTTGATCCTACAGAATATTATCTGAATATATGTTAAAAAGCAGTGGCGAAAGTATGCAGCCCTGTCTGACGCCTCGTAGAATTTGACTTTCTTCTGTTAACTTTCCGTTTTTTTAATTGTCTGAAATTTACACTGGAGACAATTCTAACATCCCTGCTGTCCACCTTCATGTTCTTTAACAAGACTATAAGCTTCTTGGGTTGTACTCAATCGAAGGCCTTCTCATAATCAACCAAAAAACGTTGTTACGCTAGTCACGACATTTTGTATGACAATAGAAGTATGTTCAGAGCAAACAGTGCTTCTCTAGTTCCCAAAGCGTTTCTAAATCCCAATTGAGTTTCATCCAAATCTGCTTCACATTTGGATCTTATCCTCCCATGAATAGTTACCTTCAATGTGTGGCTCATGAGGCTTATTAGTCTGTACTCACTGCATAGGTTTTCTTGCTGTTTTTTGGGAATTGGAATGAATATCCGTATTGATTCCAATTCCCACAGCAAAAATTTCAGCCAATCTTCCGGCAAGTCTCCAGTCGTTTACACCGTATTAAACAGTTTGCCTTAGATTTCAATGTTTTTCTCTTCGATCTTTTTTAACAGCTCCGTTGGAATGTCATCAAGTCCGGAGGCTTTTTTGGGTTTTGCATATTTTACTTTACTGCAAATAAAATCTCACACTTGAGAATTTCTGGTCCTCTCGTCAACGCAGTCATCGAAGTTGGATGCATTCGGTCTATCATCATCAAACAGCTCTTTTATGTATTTGAGCCCTGTTCCAAGAATTGGATTTTCAACTAGGATATTTGCGCCAACAGTGTCTACTAGTATATTAGTTACTTCGCTAACCCTTATATACATGCTGAACGTCTAATGTTAATTCTCCTGGTCTTCAATTTTCTTACACACTACACACACAAGCAACCATTCATGCTTAATCACAATTATTTTTTATAGGGTACTGCCAGTGTAGCAGTAGCAGGATTACTAGCATCGCTGCGTATAACTAAGAAAAAACTGAGCGACAATGTTCTGGTATTCCAAGGAGCTGGCGAAGCGAATTTAGGAATTGCACAACTATGTGTTATGGCCATGCAAGCCGAAGGTAAAACTGATGACCCGCATTTCGAATTATATCACCTGAAATGCGTGCTTCTCTTTAGGTACAAGTGAACAGGATGCCCGTAGTAAAATCTGGATGGTTGACTCTAAAGGTCTGATCGTTAAAGATCGGCCATCAGGCGGTATTTCGGAGCATAAAGCACCGTATGCTCAAAACCACGCTCCAATTGAAACTCTGACCGATGTGGTCAAACAAGTGAAACCATCAATTTTAGTAGGGGCTGCAGCTATTGGAGGTGCTTTTACTGAGGAAATCCTAATCGAAATGTTGAAAAACAATTCAAAACCTGTTATTTTTGCATTGAGTAACCCTACCCACAAGGCTGAATGCACTGCCGAGGAAGCATATAAAGCGACAAATGTAAGTATGAAGAAAATCATAAATACTTTAATATAATTTTTATATACAGTAGTAGGTAAGTGGTTATGCAAAATTGATTACTATTAAGTTAAAAAAATGCGACCCAGTTCAGATATAGAAAATTATTAAGATGTTGAATTAGTCTTCCATCTACTTCGTGAACACGAAATATGATACTGATCAGTTCACAATAATCACACAGTTTACTTATTCACATCTTTAGAGATGTACAGTGACTGCACCACTTTACAATATTTCCTAATAGCAAAGTTGAAATTTACATTCATTCAATCTACGTTAATCGAGAAAGTTTCCCTCCTTCCCAATCAGTGACCCGATTTTGGACTATTCCTGCATTAATCCTGTATCTGAAAAATAATCGTGTATTATGTGTAACATCAATAGTAACAATAAAACAGTAAGTATATTTTATATAGATACTTACTGTTTTATAAAATGTGTGTACGTTT